ACCCTTATTTTACATCACCTAGCTGTGATTGCACTGCCCTTTCTGTCTGGATCACTTCACGGGATTTATCAAATTTATCCTTAAACGAACCACACCTTTCACCAGTTCTGAATGATCAACAAATGTATTTAAAATATTTCCTATTATTTACAGATTTTGGTTTTTCACACTTCCTCCTGGAAATAATCGACCAAATATCCATTTCTTTGGGCACGCTTTCTTTTCCACCAGTACAGCCTGTCGTTCTGTTTCTATATTCCCCTTCCCCATCCCTTTGCTTCATATTCCTGTTGCTTTCCTTTCTTCCTTAAAACTGAGGAAAGCTCCGCAGCTGAAACGTAGTTTTCTCCATCGTCTTTTTACTTCTACCGAAAATTAACCTCTATGTGTTCCATTTACAGTTAAGACAAAAACTGAAATTTGCAAACACTTTTGTACTTAAATTAATATTTTATGGTTTAGTATCTTGAAAATACTAATATATGCTTTTCATGCTCATGCAAGATAATTTGATCAAAAATTACCAAAAGAGTGATATTTAACTCTGAATGAAGGAGCTTTAGAGCCCTGAGGTTGTTCTTGTAAACTTGAAAAGCAATTCAACCACAAGGCCTTGAAGCTCTGAACCTCCTTTTATGTTCATATGATTCTGAATAACATACATAGCTCTAAAGATTTATTCAAACAGCAAATGAAGCAGGAATAAAAAAAAAACATCACACAGCAGAAAGAATTACAGATTGGATAATGTGTTTCACTTTAAACATTCTAATAACGTTACAGTGCACAGAAAGCACTGCACAGAGAAACTTCACATTTGTCATAAACAGGGGGCCATTTATTCACACTTATAAGTATTGTTTCAAATGCCGACCCTTTCTACAGTATCCTATTTTGCAAAATTACAAAATGAAGCAAGCATAAAAAAATTCTATGTTGTGAAATAATGTATTTTGTATTAGGTTTTATGGATATTTTACATCTATAGATGGAGAGAAACTCCAGCATGTACTAGGACATTCTGCCCACACATCCAGTTCTTTCTGGAAATTTAAGGTTAGCCAAAAATGGGCATTCCAACATGAGAAAGATCCCAAACATACATTAAAATCTCTAAAGGAATGGTTAACTGTAATCACAATAAATGTCCTTGACTGTCCACCTCACTCTCTAGACTTCAGTCTAATTGGGCATTTGTAATTCAGACTCAAAACGGCAATTCACTAATGGAAACCAATGTGTCTGAAGGATGTAAAGAAATTCTCTGTAGAGGAATGTTCATAAATCTCCCCTCTGATTAGCCAGAGCCTTGTAGCACCATAGCACTGCATTACTAGAGGTGTCTAGTTAGTCTAAACCTTGCCAGAGGAGGACTTACAAAACACTAACTACAGGCAATGTGAATAAATCTGGCCTTCATGTTTTCTGAACTAAAATGATTAAATGTTTATGTAAGAAATATCCAATCTCAAAATCTTTCTATTATTTTGATATTTATTCTTCTAATTTCATCATGGTCATGAACAAATTTGGAAGGGACTATACATATTAAAGTAAAGAAAATTGAACTGCACTTTCCAAGACAGAGCGATTTTGTTTTCCAGGTCCTGACAATTCCCGCTTATATGAAACATAGAGAAAGGATGCCTGAGTATAGAAGAGGGTGATGATTGCAATGAGGTTTGACATTCATGCTGTGATGCAGCACCAAGGAAATTAAAGTGAACTGATAGCTTGGAAACATGTGACTTAAAGATTTAAATAACCTTTTAACATAACGTCTATGGACATAAATGCAAAACACATACAAGAATTTAAATGACTGAAAATGACCTATATGTTCATGCTATTAAGAATGGGTTAGGCTGTGCCAGTATCTATATCCATAAACAAAGTCAAAAGTGACCCTTTCTGAACTATTGTATGAACACAAAGAATTACCACTGATGAAACTAGAGCACTTCCTGTTCCTAGCTGTGTCGGTGAATGTGGAAGGTGGGAACTGAGAGCAGAACTGCAGGCTCACCAGGGTTAATTGTTCTTTAATATGTCACAACAGTGTTTTTAATCACAGAGAGCTGTAGAGAGTGAAAGAGAGAGAGTACGGTGCACCAGCAAGCAGTCCATAAGGTAGAGAGAAAGAAAATGTCCTGCTTTATATAGAAGAAGATATATGAAATAATGATGAAAGGGGAAAAAATGTCTATTATTAGATGAATTAAACACCAAACATAGCATACTGAAAAAATATACAGTACAGTAAAATTAAACATCGAAAATAATTACCTTTTGACTAATTTAGGAATATTATACATTTCATTACCCTACTCTGTACTATTCATAAATTAAACACAAAATAAAGTATAAATAAAAAGTAAATGATAAGGTAATACAATCATGTGAGTACTTCCCTGACATGATTGCAAAACAGGTTTCTCACACTTTTTAAACAAAAATGCATGAGATAACATGCAAACATTGCCATACATGAGCAAAAATAAAGCCAGATTAAGAGTGTTATGGAGCCCTGGTGGATGCTGGTGGTGACTGCATTATGCTTCCTCCACACTTTTCATCCACAGAAGGAACTCACTGCACTACCAGCTCTAAGGATGTAAAATTAACTTTCTGTAACTCAGAAATTGTATAATTGGACCCTTGACAGTTTTTTATACAAAGCTGAATGTATCCATGTTGAGTCTTACATAATCTGAAGAGTTGGAGAATGTTAGTTATGTTCAATACTGGTAAGAATTTTTCAGCACATACAGTAGGCCAACTGTACGGTCACAAAAGGTAACAACATCCTTACGACACCGTGCAAGATGTTTGTAATATCTATTTATACTAATTAAATTAAACATTTTATCTCTGCTGATCAAGAGATTTACTTGCCTGACAACTGTGCATTCATGTACTAAAAATTAATGGTCTATTATTCCAGCCCTTTCTTACTATACCATGAATTTCTTAATTATATTCAGTATTCACTGTGTGAGAAAAATAATATTTAAAATGAAAGATGTCCTCTTCACCACCCTCTACAATAATAACTGTGTTAATAATAACTGTGTTAATATACATACTATGTGTATATTAAATAAGGTTTCTTTGTAAAGCAATGTCTAAACACTCTTAATTAAGTACCACTTAGTGATTTAGTACTCAGTAATATCTGTACACTATAAAACTATAGTTTTAACTATAGTGTAAACTATACAGGCAGGTTCATACTTAAAAATCTGCATCAGAAAACACATAATTAAGTAATTTATGAATTATTACATTGTTTGTTAAACTAACAATTACAAAGACTGCTAACAATATCTAATCTAATGTGTTAAAAAAAATATAACAGATGCACCTAATCAGTTCACCCATTGAAGTGTGGTAACAGTACAACTTAATGTAAGTGAAAGTCTGTGATAACCATGAATCAGGAGCTTGGTGTTTCAGAATTCCAAACGGCAAGGATGATGGTGTTCTAAATATGTAACAGAGTCACACTAGTGATCCATTTTATTTAGAGTGCTGAACTGATTTATTAGCAGTTAGGTGAAATTATGCACTCCACTCATAAAACCAGTTTTCAGATATTGTTCAACTTTAACAACTGCTCAAGGAGTTAAAAAGAGAAAAAGAAAAACAACCAAAAAGTGGTATCTTTTGGACTTTGGACTATTGTTCAGCATGTTGACTGTTTATTTTGTTGTGCACACAGGCTTCATCCAGATAAGTGAGGCCATTCACTTATCTAGTAAGAAACATACAGTTCATTTAGGGCATTTTAGTCAAGGTTTTTGGTGTTTTGCTCACTTCATTAAAACACTAATGTCCAATGACTTTAGAATAATGTATAGTGATATAAGTATATACATACACATACATGTATTTAAAATAGGGTCAAGGATGTGAATTAAATTTTAATAGGGAAGGCAAACATTAATTATGAAGATAATTTAAAAGCTTCATCCACCCACATTTAAATAGACAGAAGCCTCAAAACCAACCTGGAAAAACCTTTGAAAATATTTTTCTTGTAAACATATGTTTGTGTGTGTGTGGGGGGGGGGGTCATGTGCCGCTCGGACCATACCTATACCATCTACCTCATTATAATTTTTTTATTGCACATCTGCAGTCATCGTTTACATTCAAACTGTTTACTTGTACATTGTCTACTGTTTGTATATTGTCTTGATGCACTGTCTGCACTTCCTGTTTTACACTTTTTTTTAAACAATTGAGAGACTTTCTGTAAGTAAGAATTCCATTGTACCAGTACATGTATCGGTTACATATGGCAATAAAGTTCAAGTTTAAGTACAAGCCAGTGGCAGCATGGTAACGGCACCGCCCTCTTCTCCTCTGTGCATAACAGGGATGTTGGCCACCTGTGCTAGCAAAAGGTCTTCTTTAGCTCAGCCAGCAATACCCCTGTTGAGTGACGCCAGAGACCCCGGTTCGAGCCCAGGCGATGAGGGACGAAAGGTGGCGGGAGCGGTGAGGGCACAAGTCTGAGAACCTGAACTCGCTACAACATTTTTTATCACACATTTTGATGCTAGCCAACGTAAACTTGCACCAGAGACGACCCAGTGATTGACACAACAGTGACACAAATTCAGTCAAAATACATATGAACTGCGAACCCATCGCATCTAACCGATCATCAATTCACAAATAATTCAACTTTTTTTATGGACCAATGGGGGTTTTCACTTTGTGAAACCTAGGGTTTTTTAAAAAAAACCCAAAAGAACCCCTTGGTAAGAAAGGAAAAAAATTAAAAAAATAAAGGGGTTAATTTCACATGAGAATACCCAGTTTTCTGATGCTATTACCACATAGTATTTTAATCCTCTTGACTTTAGAGCAGGAACATTAGAATAAAATGAATACACAAAGATTAAAAAGATCCTAATTTTATTTCAACAGTAAAGTTTTTGTTACTGTAGTCAATTTTTTGTTTTCTCAGGAAACAAAGACAGCAGGCCTACCTTTTTACAGCATCCCTCTTTTGGTTGTCAATGCTGTCCCACCATTTGGAGAAGTAGGAGATCTCTGACCACAGCATTTTTCTTCTCTTGTCTTCATGTAGTTTTACCACCATATTATTCAAGATATGTTGTGTCTGGTCACGGTAGTAGTCATCAAATGTCTTCAGCCATCCTGACATATACAGACAACAGAAAATGGTCCTTAACCATGTGAATGTCTACTTCAGAGGTGGATTTTCTTTACAATTTAAAAAATGTTCAGCACTGAGCATGAAAAAACTTTCATGCAATGGAAAAAACTGTCTGAAAAACACTTATGTAAAGTAACCAGAGAGATTTTAGGTGGTAAATTTGCTTCTTAATTTCTAGAATCTCAACACCTGCAAGGGCAAATTTCTTAAAATAAAATACCCAGACTGTCTCTAAAGGGGTCAGAAATAGTTGAATGATTACTATAGCTAAATCTATCATTCGAATCATGCAACAATAATATCAACAATGCTCCTGTTCAATGTGGTAAGGAGCAAGTACTGTACATACAGCAAACAGAAAATAAAATCGCATAAAAAGGTTATGTTATGTCTTTAAACATTTTAAAATAAAAATCATTTTTAAAGAAAGCTTTATATCGACAAAGCAATGTATGAAAAATGGCACCAATACAGTTTTGGCAGTGATTACACCAACTTGATTTGATTCTTTGAAACTTGTGGTGTTGCTGAATTCAAAGTTTTTTGAAGCACGTCCTGACAACATACTATGAAACTAAGCTGCCATCATTTTGATTTTCAAAAGTAATCTAGGAAGTGTCTGCAAGAAAGAAGGAAAATTAAAGATAGCAAACCTTTGTAAATCTTTGTAAATTTTATAAGATTCTCTCATAATTGCAACAGTCAGAGCCGGGGGTTTCTTCCCTAAACTCTAAAGTATGTAAAATAAGGAATGAATATCACTGATAACTGATATCCAAATAATAGTTGTAAAGATTTAAAGAAAACAAGCTATAATTACACAATAAGGCAATATAATGATTAATGATAAATAAGATGATGTGTTTAATGAAGCTTAAATAAAAAATATCACATTATATGGACAAGAATATTTAAACATTATAATTCAGGACTTAATGAGTCACATATTTAAGCTGTGAATTAGTGCTTATCTTCAGTGCATGTACAGCAGCTTTTAATTAAAACCATTTCCTGGCAGCCATATCCAAAATATCACCCTTTTTAAAATCATTTTAAAATGATGCAATAATACTATTGTTTATATTTATACAGTGCTGAAAAGTAAAACGACGTTCAGTGACACTTTGACCAATTTGTATGTTTTCCATCAACAGTATGTTGTCGGCTTTCTTCTGCTTTACTTTCCTTCAGTCTGCAATCCCAGAAACGCCTGAGCAGGCTCACACTATGGTGAGCGATGAATTTTCCCTTGCGAGACCTAACATTTAATCTCCCCAAGACTCCAGTCTCTGCTTTGGAAATTATTTAATTTTCGACTTATCAGAGCACGCAATGTTTTCCAAGAACACGGGTTACATACAGTGCATCCTGATAAGCTGCATGCACCTAGTTTTTTTTTAAGAAGAGGCTTGTAAAGATTGTTTTTTCATTAATCATAAGCATTCCATAATTTACATATGAAATTAATAAATTAGGGACATATTTGCTTAAGATGCTGAAGGCAAAAAAGGAAATCTTATCTTCATAAATGAAATCATCACAATGGGACAATGGCATATTAGTATTGAGGATGGCATCATACTGTATAAATGACAAACTGTTCAGTGTAAGGAAGTACATTATGCACCACCTAAAGTTCACCCATAGGCTTTACTTAGGTTGACATGACTGGCAATAAATGTATGTAAACATGAAAAAATAGGAATCTTTTCCTAAAATCTTTTCCACTGGACGTTTAACTTGTCAGCACTTGGTGTTTGCAATGCTGCTATAGCATAAAAACTATAGAACAGGTTGAAGAAAAAGACAACAACAATGGTGGAAAAATCTATAGCTTGGTTAGCATTTAACATTTGTGCAAAAAAGTTGCTATTAGTAAATTTAAATAAAAAACATTTCATTATTAAGCAACTAGGTGTGAAGTTGTATTTAATTTATAATTTACAAATGCAAATACATGGCGTTCAATGGTGCGGGCGGTGTTCTGACAAACTGAGCTACCCAATCAGGATGAGTGGGATAGAATAGGTTTCTGAATAATTAGAAGTATTTAACTATAGCAAAATACCACAAGCTCCCACTCACTTGTCTATTAACCTAAAGTTAGCAGAGTTGCAGTTCAATTTAATATGTTATTGCAGCATATTTTCAGTTTGCTTAACCCTCACCACATGGATAGTAGTCTTTTCAAAGAACTGTACAAGAAAAAAATATAAAGCTGGTGATCCTATCAGAAATAAATACGGGCTACTTCGAAAAAGTGTTTAACAATCATCAGGTCATATCGTTACATCGATTAGGTTATATAAAATTGTTTATCCTAAAAACAAATAGCTCGTCCTGTAAACCTATTCATACACAGGTCGTCTTGTAACCTACTGTCATATATAGCTCATATTGTGAAATAAAAATACAATCAGAATAGACTACAGTGTTAACCCGGTTAAATGATACAGCAGCCGAGAGAGATATAATCTACATGTTTATTATTTATCAATGTTCATCAACGAAGCTCATATTGGCAAATCCTACAGTCAACAGAAACATTTAATTGCTGCTGTTCTGAGTTCACTGTTGGATTTTAAGCGACTTATTTGAAGTTTATTTTGAACTTTGAACTTATTTGAATCCTGTTTTATTTATTTTATATTTAAATCTGCACTCTGAAAGCCAATGCGGTAAGAAGTAAGATGTTAATGAAGTTAAGTTGAAACTTGTTTCTCATTATATTATTGAATAAAGGTACAGTATATGGCTACTGAACAATGCCAAACTATGTCACAGCCTTTCTCATTTACAAGCCATAATTAATTGATTAATCATTGTAACATTCACTTGAATAATTGATTATCCAAATATTTGTTTGTTGATGCCCTAATGAAAACTAATTTGATGTAGTTTTATGAAACTAAAAATTCAATCAGTATGCTAGAGCATCTTCACCAGTGTCACTCTATTCTTCTTTTGACTGCAAATTGATTTGGAGTTTTTAGACACCTCCCAATAATTTGTCAATCTGTTTTTACAGGAATTTCTCTCATTTCTCACACACTTACTGGATACATCACAATAATGGAAGCTTCTTTGCCAGGATCAATAGCAAACATTCCAGCCAACCCTATATAAATTTGAAGTTTTGTTCATGTAAAAGTGTTGCAAAGCTTTGTATTAATCTTATGTATTTCTGCACGTGCCCCTGGTGCACCAATAATGCACCTCTGAAGGCAACAGCAGACCTAGCAAGGACTGAAACCTATCTGCTTGGAAATAAAACTGACAATAATTTGCCTATTTATATAAGGGAATAATTAGAGGTTTGTTTTACATCTATTTAATATATGACTATTGGATTTAGCTCAATATTCAAATATTTTCATCCACACAAGAAATTAGGCTTATGTTTTGTTAAGTGGCACTTTCTATTGGTTTACTCCTCACTTTCCCATTAAATTTAAGATATTTTAGCTTTTATTACATTGTACTTTTCTTTTCTTTCCAGGTATTATAACACACGGTTACTTTGTGACACTAAAAATCTAGAATAGTTTGGAATTTCTCTAGGCTCAATATAGGACAGCTGTATTGTTATTTTACAAGAAGTGAAGTGATACTGTGGCTCGTGCTCCACCCTGCTGAGTCACAGAAAACAGTTCATATCATCTTTCCTTTCTGCTCCATTTGCAGTCAGCTAGAGTCTGCGGGATATCTCACAGTTACATGAAGCTAGATATTCTATACATAGTGCAGCACATTTTGAAAACTAAATTAGACATTTCAAAATGGTTTATTAGGCGCATTGCTATTATTTGACCATTTGCATGGTGTACATACTATTTTATATAGATAGCACATTATCTGTTCTGCGTTCCGCTTAAGTTGTTAAATGCTAGAATAGTTTTCCTGTTTTGATAACAGAGGCTCCCAAAAGCTCTACAGCTGTGGCTGGGAATTTAAGTGGTATAACTTCTGATTTAGCAATGAGTCATTCTTTGGGAGCCATTTTGAACTCGGTTTGTCCAAAAGTAGCCTAAATGGAAATTTCAGAGAAGAATAGATGAAAACTAAGTTTGGCATGATCAAAGCACTAAATGCCAAAATAAATAAAATACTGGTAATTTTTAAGAAATTATTCAGAGTTAAAATGAATAAAACCTTTAGATGGAGATGCACATTATTTCTACTGATAAGATCCATGATTAATTATCTTCAAGCACTTATGCATGGTATAAAAGCAAACATTTTATATTCACATATTTTAAAAGAAATAGAAATGTACACTTTCAAGACTGTAAAAGTAAAAACTATTAGCAATGATAAACCTTTTTATCCAAAGAAGTCTGAAAATAAGATATTAGTTAAAACTGTGTCTAAATTAAATTAATCTCCTGTCCAAGTTTGAAAGAATGAGCACTAATGTTAATTTTATTTTATGTAAATTCTCATATATTTGCACAACAGTATGTCTCAAATCCACAACATGACTGTCTATCCGCATAGTGACAATGATGTTGCACTTCTCAAACACAAGTATCAGGTACTTTGAAAGTTCTATAGAAACCAGAATGTTCACTCTGCAACATGCAATTACAGAACTCAAGGAGAGCTAAATACTTGAAAAAAAGAATGTTATCCTAAGTCCATAAACTTGCAATAATCTTAATACTGTGAATCACCCTTTTAAATTGTCTTTTTATTGCTATGCAAGTTTAATGACTAATATAAAAACAGCAAAGTGATGGACTATTCCTTCTTAACTACTTCAGAGCTCTTCTTTGTTTCTGAAGGATTGGGCATAATTCAGGTGAATGAAACACTGTATTCACAAAATCAGTTTTGTAAATGTCAAGGAATTAGACCCCAAAACAAACAGTTTATTAATGCATCTAAATATGCTAATAACAGTCATTTCAATGTTTCCACTGACAGAAGACCCTGCAAAACAATTAGTTTAACATTTGTTCATTTTTGCTCTGTTAGAAGA